AATAAAATGGCAAAATAATTTATGTTAAAGCCAATATCAACACTGAAATTGTCCATTCACAAGTCCGGTAATGTATTCCCGCGCGGTGGCCCGCGCTGCGCCGCACCGCCGCCCGTCGCCCGTCGCCCGCTGCCTGCCGTCGCCCGCCGCCCTCCGACCGCACTGTAAACAGATCATAAAATATTGCCTCAATTTAAGTACTTTAGCGGACAATCTATTAGAGGGACGAATCTAAAACTTGACCTTTACTGAAGTTTAATAAAACATCTCGTTAACACGTTTATATAAAATGAATTTGTTACAATAATATAGGCAGTCCTCACTATTGAACTGTATTTTTAAACAATGTTGTAAGTTTACGACAGTGTTCTAGTAGCTTACATTATTAGAGAGCACATTCGATAAAGTTTAAGTTTGTTATACTGAGAAGGCGCTGTAACAACACGCCTTCACTTGCACCCTACAGTTATTGCTGCTAAGATAAACAAAGAGTTTGTGGTGCATTTCTTCTAAGCACAGTTGGAGGCGATCGGTGGCACTATTTGTTTTGTGCCCGACGTCCCAAACATGCAGTGATCGAACGCAGCCGGGCCGGGGTCCGGTGTACGGGAGACAGGGGGAGGTGCGGGCAGGGGGGGCACACTGAAATAGATCGCAGGATTGATTGCTCCCATTGAACTTGGAGGTTTCATTAAACACTTCGCTGGAAAACGCCATTTGCTTTTAAACGGAACGAATTAACGGTTTCCGGAACCGTTTTGATTTTCATCTGTGTACTCTGATCGTTTGAACTTCACCATTTAATGTTATTCAATTAGTTGCTCCGTTTATAAATAACCAGACTAACATAAGAAATACATAAGCGCATTAAAAACAGAAATGTGTATTTGTGCCCATAAATGAGCTAGTTTATAGAAATTACTAAGATCTAGTAGGAGACTGTCGATTAAAACTAGATTACATTAAGATCTATCATTTGTTAATTCTGAAATGTTTATGTTTGAGTAAATGACGTTACAGTTTATCATTTATGTGTTACATAAAACATTTACAAGTACTCGTGTAAAAGACAAAGTTGGTGAATATTTGTAAGTTAGTAGCCGTGACATATTAAAATCAAGTCCCGCGGGAAAGTTTGCGCCTCGTAAATTTTAAGATAAACAGATGATGGCGCAGAGACGTTATTTATTATTCATGTTGGTTCTGTTCAAATAACAATGTTGATTTTTAACATATTTCTGTTAATTTTTGTTGGTATGTTAATGTTGATAAAGGAAAATCTTTTTGAAATCAACATCAGCTTTATAATTATAAATATTTAGGAATATTTGCAAAATATATTTTTTATCAGAGAGAATTATAATATAAACAATGAAGTAAACAAAACAACGGAATAAGATTCAAACGACTTCTCAAAGCTTTGCGTCTTTACTAATTATATTTGTGATTTAAAAAAAAAACACTTCTGGCATTATTAATACATTGGCATTATCTTAATTTGCTTCTTGATAGTTGAGAAAGAGATGTTTCGACACGATATCAACACAAACATCTCTTTTCAAAAGTAAAACAAACTAAAAGAGCCTTATTCATAGTAACATCCTAAGTTTTATAAAAGTCTTATTAATCTTTTTCCTTTCTCGGTGCATCTTTGTTGAGTTTATCTTTCTTCTATTAGAAGCAGAACATACAAAAAGAAGGCAGGATATATCGCACAAGGCTCGTAATCTCCGTTTCATTAAGGAAAGAGTAAATTAGATTCTAGTCCCGGAGCGCGTTTTTTATACTGACACTAGTTCCGCTAAGGCAAGAATAACGAGCCTGTATTTAAAGTAATTATAAAACTTACTGGCCACAGTTTTATAATTTTTTCTTGAAACCATTTTACAGCCTCTAATTTCGTATTAAATGTTAAAACATTTTTATCCAATGCAAAATCCAAATAAATTTTATAGTGAGCTAAGTTGCAATAATCTGGGCAATAAACTATTGTGATATATTGACGTGTTCTGACAGGGAAGTAAAAGATATCGCCGTGTACGGATTCCATCAGGACATGTAATAAACAAAGGCATCAAGCACAGTGATCGGGCGATCGGACGTCGCTTCCTCCGACAGTTAACGGACTGTTTGTTTACTCGAGCGCACCGACACCGGCACGTCTGCTCGCGACTCAGACTCACGATCAAATGACCGATTAATAACCTGCAATATAAATATACACAGCAAATTATTATGATCTTGAAATTTACGAGTAATATAGATGCTATATGTTTACTGAACTTCGCTTTGATTTCAAATTTTATTATGTTATAATATATTTAAAGATGATATGTTAATTTTTTAAATCACGTTTTCTCTTTTCGTTGACATTAAAAATTTATTAGGAACGACCTAGTTTACTTCTCTTTGTAAATGATTAAAACATATGAATATTTATGCCGGCATTCTGTTCACAGACTGCTCTTTCTAAAACAAGAAAAAACCGTAACGCCTTTTTGTGTTCGCTATAGTTTTTAACTGACTTCAAAAAGACAAGAAAGTTTTTTTTTAATAACGATGGTTGTTTCGATTGCATACTTTATGTACAAGTTCAATTTTCCTTGACCCAGTTAGCTGGAGCACTGTATTATATTTGTTGTTTGGGTTTTTTGGGCGCGTATTTTATTCCAGCTTAAATCCAGTAAATTATTTAAGTTTAGCAATCCTTTGACTCGCCATTTTTGAATGTTCGGAAGAAATGTTTGATATGTGTATTTATAAGATAAACATAAAAACTAAATACATTTGATTAGCCCTTACCCAATGTCGGTCTGTACAATTTGCGTAAAAATGACGCACCCTTTGTAATTTGTATACGAGATACAAGCGGTTTATTCAGATTGTGGTGCATTTGTCCGGCAAAATTCATCTAAATTATTATTATAAATGAAATACACAGCTGTTACAGTAGGAACAATTCAACAAAATACCGCAACTTTGGTCTTTGTTTAATAAAATTCTGAAGTTGTGATATATAATAAAATTAGTATTTTATTTACTAATTAATTTAAAACCAACATTTTCCAACGACTTCGTTTGCGCGGTGTTTAAAAAAAATCAAATGTCATTCGTCAATTAAATTACGAAAAGCAGGTGCAAATTCCAATTAACAAAAAAAAATGCGGAACAAAAGGAACACGACCCAGCTTCCCATCAAACAAAATAAATCACCTCCAAAAGCCATTCATCAATTCCCTGCGATTGAAGTCTCACAGAGCAGATCGGCTTCCCCGACACATAATTATTCGAATTTGGAATTTTGTTAATTGAGGTCAAACATCGGCATTACTAACGTTCCCGTTAAATTCTTTGATTCGATCCGCTTCGCGTTCAATTAACGTAATTGTATTAATTCTTTGAGTTCGCAGCGTTATGAGGCAATTACCTCCCGCCTCGGATTACCTTGGACCCACAGGCGTCTTCAAATTGGTAGCGAGAAACTTTTATCCTGTTTTATAAAGCCGGGAGGTTTCAGTTACGGCTATTATTCTGAGAAATAAAATTAAATTTTTTCTCTATTCGATACGATCTATATATTACTAGCTGTCGCCCTCGACTTTTCCTTGCAGATTTAAAAAAGTAATTAGTAGCCTATGTGTTCTTCCATACTATGTATGCCAAAATTCCGAGATTCGTTAATCCGTTTTGATAATACCTTAAAACAAACATCCATCCATCTAAACTCTCACATTTATAACATTAGTAAGATTCTTACTCAGAAGTCACAATCTAGGCTAGACAGGCTTTGTGGATGTCCGGTTTCGTTTCAAATTTATACGTTTTTACAAGACTAAATATCGCAGTATTTAATGGTTGTTCAAGGCTGAAAACTTGTCAGTACCGTAACGATTATTAAAACTTTCATCGAAAATTATGGCTTAAAATATGCGGCTCCTCACATATATTAGAATATATAAATTATAATATATTGTTTATGTAAAGAACAGTGAACGGGAAGAAGAAAGGCGTTAAGTAGTTCTATAATTGTCTTGGTAGTAATTTTAAGGATCCTCAATTTTTTTTTTAAACGAACTGCAATGGATAAAATAAAAATGTTTTTAATATGGAAGCATCGTGTTTACAAAAGGTCCGTGTAGGTAACAGTAGAGGCGGTTGCCGGAGCGCGACGACTCCGACACGACACGACACACGACACCGTGCGAGCGACACGGCTCGCTGCTCGACACGCTCCATCGGTCGAGTCTTCGACAGCTCAACATTTTCTATTTTAGTTATAGTTTTATCGATGAGACTTTAGCTCTTTTTAATAATTGCTTATAATAAGCATATAGATAAGCAATTGTTATTTATTTTTTATTTAGGTATAGAATATAAAAACGACGTTACTCAGTGGAGTGGAGTTTATATTATATAGATAGAGAGAGAGATTCTAGATGAATGACTTTCATCTACAGGATAATGATATCTTCTGCAAGTTAATGATCTCAGCGTGATTAATATGTAAAATAAGTGAAATCGCATAAGCTTCATTTTTTAATATAATATAAAATTCTCTTGATGAACATTAATGACAATTTATAATTAGCCTCCGTCTGATGAATGACTGAATGATATAATGACGGCGCGCCATGAAAGGCTATTTAATTACTTTTCAACAATTACATGATCCGAATACAAACAAAAGCATTTCACTCCGGTGCCAGCATTATACGTGTTTTATTTACTTTATTACTGTGATAATTAGTTATACAACTTCTAGTGCTAGCAAAGGGTGAACTGAAACCAGTAAACACTCAAAAAACATTGATATGCAATAACTCTATAAAAAAGTGCTACAATTTTCCACATATGGTACAAGACTAAGGAACCCATTTAGGTGTTACAAATGCACTAGTAGTAGTACTTATAGGAGTTATAAATAACAAATATAAATACTATATATCATATATTCTTAATGGGAATGAGAAAAATTTACCGATTTTTTGGTTTGTCTGTAGTGCCCACGGTGCACGTTCAAGGCGTGGTGGGTAAGAAAGCCTCCCTGCCGTGCGACACGCAGCCGCTCTCCGCGGACGACCAGGTGGCCATGGTGCTGTGGTTCAAGGAATCTGACGGAGAACCACTCTACAGGTAATATATATAATTACAATAAAAACAGCAAAATATATTTCTCTTTCCTGCTCTTTTATTCTAGTAAAACAAGACATAACTTCTAAAGAAAATTTACATTTAATTTCGTTTAGTCAAACAACAACGTATACTTCATGAAGTTTTTAATATTGTTTCGCAGAGTGTAGCTTCACTCGTATAGTTTAGATGAGCAATCTCGTATCTTACACAATTGAATGTTTCTCCGTAAAATGTATTATGTTATGTATTGAAGGTAAAAACCTTGACCGTGGATATTTTGTACAGAAGCAACAATAGTTGTAATAGATTGAATGAAAACTGCTATTCCGTTTAACATTCTTTCTGTTGCTAGATATAAAAAATAGGTTGTTAATAATTTATGTTTCTAATAAGCTTTTTTTTTATATCACAAGGGGGCAAACGAGCGAGCGGCCACCTGAAATGCGGAAATAGCGAAGTGACCGTTGCCCATAGACTTACGCAATTGCATATGCGTTGCCTACCTTTAGTCGACGGAGGAGAGGATGCACAGAAAGAACATATTTTCCCTTACCATGCATCCTCTCATCCGGAAAGTCCACTTCCACTTCCCATCCTTTCCTTATAAGAAAAAGTGTGGGAAGGGAAAGAGGACTAATTTTGGCCTCCGGGACGCACACTCATCAGACATAACGCGGAATTGCTTCCACTTGACGCTTGTCTTCTGTGTGGTCGTGGTATTTCACCGGGCGAGCCGGGTCAATTCGTGCGAAGATGTTAAAGCGGGCTCTACCACTATTAATAATTAATAAGCTATTTTGTATACAACTACCACGTGCAACATCAACTCCACCACGTTACCCAAAATATTTTTTTAAGAATATATTTTAGCATAGGCGTTCCCATAGTGGCACCCCACCGTTAACAGCATGACAAAGCAACCTCCAATATTATTATTTGTATAGCTATGACGTGCGAGGGCGAGCACTAACGCAACCCAAGCTGTGGTCTTCGCCGTCCGGGTTCGGGGCGCGCGCGTTCTTCCGTGCGGCCGCCGTCCCCGCAACATTGCTCCTAGACAACGTGTTCACCAGTGACGCTGGCGTCTACCGCTGCAGGGTCGACTTTACAAACTCACCCACTAGAAACTTGAGGCTTAATTTCACTGTTATCAGTAAGTTACTCCAAATTTTATAGCACTTTTAAGGTGTTGTTGAGAACTTAATTAGGAAGTTCAATGGACGTTACGCTTTAAATTATTGACCAAAATTTAATTGTAAAAGAATATCTAGTATGTACATTTTCTCTTTGATATGGAGAAAGTGATGCATTATATTTAAAAATATATATTAAAGTGTTATTTTCGATAATTTTCATCGCTAACACAAATTTCATTAAAATATCACCGGTTCCAATAATCGACAGTACAAAAAGTGACAGAAAATAACTGATAATATTCGATAATGCTCGTACAAATTACGTTATTAACAGCATATTGTGATAGTAATTGAGGCGTGTTGGAGAGTCTATTATGTCGTAAATATTCAGTTTCTCAAACGTCATTCAGTAACAATTAATTATAGAAATTGAAAAGCGCCATGATACAGCTCTTCTTATTTATGTACAACCATTTATTCAGGACATGAAGGAAAAGTAACGCCAACTCTATGTACAGATAAAAGTTAAGAAAGAAAAACAGGATTACATCCACTGGTACACAATATTAATACGTTTTTAAATGTGAAATTTGCTCATATATTATTTTTAGCATAATAGGTAAATGTTTAATTTTCTTGTTAGTGTGCGTGTAAATATGTAAATAATAAAAATCACGTCTAACAAAATAGATTTCTATTGTAACAATTGGACTTATCTATAGATGTAATATAATTTTGTTTGTTATATTTTCTCTAAGTCAAGGGAAATAACGCGCAATAAGGGAAATCTTTATCTTTAGAAATAAAATGAGATTTATTTAACCGCTAAAATGATTGGCATAAAACTATGTTAGAAACAAAAACCACTGAAATCAGACCAGAGAAAGTCACAAACTAGGTTACTTCAATAATGACAAAATATATTTTATTATTTCAACAGTTGCATTTTATAAGCAATTTCAAATTCACATTGATTGTAAAGCTCGACCGACTGACTCACTGAGGTTTCAACAAAATTTAAGATAACATCATGATAATAATATTTATCGTATTTACTAAAATCTTACGATTAGATTTTTATTGTTTTTTTAGATTTGTATAGGTACATCAAAACTAATTTAAGCTAAACAAAATACCCACTAAGGAAGGTAAAGGAAGGACTATAATCAATGTGATAAAGCTTTTGATATCAGACAGCGGAATGAAATAATCGTCGGCAATGCAATGAACATTGCAAACGCTCGTTTCCAATAATATTCCAAGGAAATTACTTTCCTAAGTGTTTCGTCGGCCAATCGGAACGCCCAAGAAAAGGGAATAATAAAATAAACGTTAAGTCTCCAACAATGCCCATTCACTTTTATTATCTTTGTTAATTTGTGGTTGTTTTGAATGCGGACTGCTTTTGATTACATCATATTTTATACAGTCTCAAAGAATTTATCCTTTCTTAATACAATTTAAATTATATTGAACATTTATATAAATAATATAATACTTCTGTTATTTACAGAAGCGATATAAACACAATATTCCTTTCAGCAAAAAAAACTCGGCAAAGACGATGTTTTAAAATTCGCAACGTTAACACTATTTTGATTTATTTAATATCAAGATTTTGTGTAAAAGTTTGGGACAGCTGAAGTTAGTGCGGAAACTTCAACAATATTGGGGACCTCCGGCCGCTGACAAAGCAAAAACGGGGTCGACTGAGAAAGCATTGTCGTCTTAAAAAATAAATAAACAGTTCATTTTGGTCAGTTTTTTAAATCGTCGTGTTGTTTCTCACCAAAGTATAATCCAAAATATCTATGAAAGTGTATGTACATACGGACATTATTATCAAACGAAGATATATTTATATTAGTTAATAAAACCGATTAAAATCCTGATTAGTCAGTATGTATTGTACACATTTACCCACAAACGGATGATTTGTGAGAATATTCCATATATCGTATATTTCTTAATTAATTTAATAAAATAGTAAAGTATTATTAATGCAGTTTCTTACTTTAACAATTGTGATCCCAGCGCCGCCAGACCGGCCTGTCATCATTGACGCAAAGACCAGAGACCAGACGCGTCTCCTGGAGCCCTACGACGAGGGAGATACGCTGGAGTTGATCTGCGAAGTTCGCGGAGGTAAAGACCTGGAGGTAGACAAATGTCAAAAGATGGTACAGCAAATGCATTATACTTCTAACATGTTTAGTGACCCTTAATCACAAAATCTGAAAGTATTTTGTAGGAAGAGGCACAAAAGGCCATGTGTGTATTAGGCCTTTTATGTCAGATGTAAACTTTCAAAGTATATTTTTATAAGCTGATTTAGTCACGGTACCAAAAGAAAGGCAGAACTTTACCGAACAGCTTTTCAGAGCGGACGAAGCTAAATATTATATAAGGACAAAATAATTTTTACCAAGTTTGAATATTTTTTCTTGCGCCGCGCTCTTGTTTGAAATATCGGCCCTCGTAATGAGATAAGGAGCCTCACTTTTATAAAGTTTGCTAAATCTTTATTCATTGCTTTACAAAAGGCATGATGCTGAATGTTTGAAAGCACTCGCTCTCTCTACTGCGCAATGCGTACATTTTTTAATGTGTCGCAGCTAATTAATATCAGTTACAATGACAGTTTGCTTCTTTTCATTAAATAAAATCTGCCTAAATTGAATTAGTTATTAGATCGCGAGATCAGTAATGATAAACTTTACCATGATCAATTAAAAATAATTATTTTATTCATGTCCGTCTTCTGGCAGGTTCTGTTTCTAAACATTCCAATTTTCGACTGCTACATTTAACTATAAAATCTGCTGACAGGTGATCCGAAGCCACGCTTGACTTGGTACTTGGAGAACACGGTGATCGACGACTCGTACGAGCTGCAGAGCGACGGCGTGACAGTTAACACACTAACCTTCCCCAGTATCGGCAGACAGCACCTGAACGTGCGGCTCATCTGTCAGGCCTCCAACACCAATCTAGCTCCGCCGCAGACGAAACTGCTCATCTTAGAAATCAATTGTAAGTCTACCTATTGGTGTAGGAAAGCTTATGTCAAAGTCGAGATGCGTTCGAAAATTACTAGATACTGGAAAAGGATAGGCAGTATTTGGAAATATTTTAACAAATCAGGATATGGCAGTCATACTGTTGGAGCTTAAAAGTAAAATTAATTAATAACTTAAAAGTATTTAGTTGTTAAAGAATTCTTTAACGTCAATACGAAAAAAGGAAAAGCTTGAATCTCTCAATAAATCTGTGTCCCCCTGGGTCTTGGAAACGAGCGATTTTGGCTCAGCCTCGAATCGAATAATACGGTGGTACGTGGTACCAAAAGAAATTAAGCAAGCTGCAATAAGATGTTCTTATGTTTTTACGGACATATTAGATTTACCCAATTACATTTCCTAATTGCTCATAGTTCTCAGAAACATACATGGATTCGAGTTCTTCTGTTTGGGGATCGCGCCCGAGGCATAAGCTGTGGGCTATTTGTGTCTCAGTGTGTAATTACTGCGTAGAAACATGATTACTGTGGACGCGAGCTCAACATTAATTACTCTGATCGATCAAGTGTCATATCTAGTTTCAAGCAAATGTCCTTTACGTAATTATGTTCAATATAGATTAATATCACATACTATATTTTTGTTCTTACGATATTAGCTAGTAATAAGATACTAAGAAATAAGGGGGCAAATCAAATATATTGTATGTAGTGTTTACACAGCAAATTAAAAAAAAAACGATTGACACGTTAAGCTTTTTAAATATTTATTCCCTTTGTATGTGTGTGTTTATGTGTATGAAGTAGCAGCTAGTGTGTTGTAACAGTAAGGCCTTTGACGGTGCAAATCCTGAACAAGAGCCGGCAACTGTCGGCGGACAGGAGTTACGAGGTGGAGTGCAAGGCGACCGGCTCGCGGCCCGCGGCGCAGCTCACCTGGTGGAAAGGAACGCGCCCGCTCAGAAGAAACACCAAGACGGTTTGTGATTTACATTGACTTATTGTACACTGTACTTATATACGTTGTATAAGTAAATTAATTAATTAACTTGGATAACGTCTCATATGTATGTATTAAAGGGTTTTTTCTTGTCGTTAGCTTTTTAAAGTGATAGTTTAGGTACTTAGTATGGCTTAAACTCGACCATAATGATATTAGGTCACACGCATACGTTAAATGATGTCTTTTATAATCATGTTCAGGTAATCTTTTGAGTTTAATGAAGTACGGATTACGTTAAATGAAAATAACGAGTTTTTAAGCGAGCGATTAAAGTAAAACGGTCAGATTAAGTATCAATATCATGTATAAAAGTGCATTGTTATATTTAAATGACATGTCCCTCGGAGCCTCCATTAATTTCCATTTCCGATGATAAAATAAAAAAGTATAGCGGAGCATCGCTGTATGAAAGGCAATTAAGATTTCAATGGGAACGTGTATGAAAAGCATCGGCGGTATAAAAAAAAGCAATTGTGGATTTACCTGTTAAAAGTAAACCTCAATTATTGTTTTATTAAAATAAAAAAGAAGTTTATTTTTCATTTTTATATTCATGTATGATAGTGCTTTTTCTGATTTATTCTAATAGTTTTCATCGGTCAGTCTTCCTTAACTATAAATTCTAAAAACTGCTTAATATATAAGTGCCAATCAAATATTTTTAATAATACAAGTGTAAACAATAACATTTGAAATAAGACCCCAATTACAATAACTCTAAAGTTATTTGTTTCAGCTATATATTAAATGTTTTCGTCAGACATATCCTGAACGTGACGTGGTCTTGTTATTTCGAACGTCAATTAAATATCGGCGTCGAGGTCCGAAATACAGTACAATTTAATATTAAATTTTACGATAAAGTTTAAAGTTTATACTTTTAACTTTACCCTAGAGGTTAACGAATATGTGGTTAACCTTTTTACTATTATTTATTGAATATTTAAATATTTAAAATTGAATAAAATCAATTTATAATTATTATCTCGTATGCATATAATTCATATTAATTTAAATCCTATATTCACCAAAGTTATCTTGTTCAGTTATATGAAATGAAATTACAGTACATCGATGCGGGCACTTGAATTTGGTAATTATTAACAACGTTGACACGTCGCTCTGCAGGCGCGCGCTCGCCGCATATCAAGCGCTCTGGGAACTCGGAACTGGGAACTCTCCCCTGACGCTAGTCTTTTGCATCCGCTTAATACGGACTCAATTTTACATTCTTTGCACTAACATTGTAGATTATTCTTTTTAATGTATAGAAAATAATTTTATTAATATTCTTTAAATTGATTTGTTCTATGACTGATATCGTAAATCAGAATATCAATTTGCAGCTAAAATTAGGATCACTTTATAAACGCAGTTAACAAAAAAAAATAGAAACAGCAATAAAGTTTAACGAATTGTATTCAAGTAAAGTTAAATATTAACTCGATGTTTTTGTTGTGTTAGTTCTCTGACACGAACGCGACGCTAAGCGTGTTGACGTTTACTCCGGAGGCGGAGGACCACGAGCGCACACTGGTCTGCCGCGCTGAGAACCCGCGCCTCGCTTCCTCGCTGCTTGAAGACTCCTGGAAACTTAATGTACATTGTAAGTCCTACTTTCAGTGCTTCACTAGGATTAATTACGATATATGTTTTACCTAACATTTATCATTTATAATGTATTTATTGTTAAAATTGTTCTTATTTAATTAAATAGTGACTTTTTTTATTAAATTGTACTCGTAAGTTTCAGTGATCTAGGTCCCACACTCTAGGTGTAAAAATTAAAAAGCTAATCAATTACTCTAGTTCTGAAAATTTATAAAACAACCAAATTTTGCTCAGAATGAGTTTTTTCTTGTACGGATAAGCCAAATCCCTTATACTATTTGAGACTTCTTAAGTGTTGTATTGAGCAATAAATTGCCAATGTAATATTATTGAAATGGAAACGAATAAAATATACATAATCATTTATGTCGGACAATAAATTGTTGAAGCACAATTATGTTAATGAGAGGCAATACTGTTAAGTGGCTGTAATGTTGGGCGTTTGTCAATGTGTTGGCGTACAGCGCCATCTAGCGCCTTGCGATAATTCCGCAGGTTCCCGCTCCAGATCTAATCGCCGCAGTTAATTAATGAAACGACGTCGACCAATGGATCTTATCTCAAGTAATAGAATACCAATTTTATTGCGCAAACTGGATTTAGTTATGACTCAAATCAAAGGTTAAAATAGTTACGATATATTGGAGATATTAATAAGAACAAGATTTTCTTCGTACTAATATAAATATTAGAGAAAATACCAATGAATTTACTACTTGAAAAATTTCATGCATGAAGGTTAATTAATAATCATTACCTTTTTCAAGTTTATTTAGATTAGGAAAGTAATATTTTTATCTAGTATCTATTAGTATAAGAAAACATCCAATCTACTTCTTGATAATTGGTTCGGCAAGTAGGTTCGTGGCGAACACCGCGGGGATTACCGGTTACGCTTCAGTGCTCTCATCGCCCTCGTTTTGTAACCCCAACTTGGGTATTTTATCGAATGCACAATAGCTGAAATAAATGTAAAAGAATTTTCACGCTTTTACACATCGACCATTCCTTTGTGATATATATATTACACTTTCATTGAACTCGTTTCAACGAGCATATATTTTATGATGTGGATTATTTTATATGTATGTACAATTTCAGAATTACATACGAAAACTTTTATTTTGGAAAAAGCAAATTAGCAAATAACTTCGATAAATATCTATTACAAGTTAACACAAACGTTTAAGAAATAACTATTTGTTTATTATTTCACAATCTCTAAGTAACCAATAGATAAATATGTGAACGAGAAAACGTAACTATTGTAGTATAAATAAACATATTTTTTCCAGACGTACCGATAGTGACATTAAAAATGGGCTCCACTCTAAATCCGGGCCACATCAAGGAGGGCGAAGATGTTTATTTTGAATGCAACGTGAAGGCAAATCCTAAATCGACTAGACTATCGTGGTACAAGGGGGTAATTGTCGCTATTATATTCCTATTTGCTGTCTTATCGTTGTATTTTAACTTATAGAATGTAAAGCTTTTTCTAAATACAATTTGTTTTGGTACCAGCCAAACATCCATCCATTCAAACATACAAATATTTGCATTTGTATTATAATGTTAGTAAGCTATTAAAATGTAGGATAACATATTATTATATAGTGTGACGTGTTGTAGGCGCGAGAGATAGTGCAGAACGCGAGCACCGGAGTGATCTTCAGTGACCAGAGCCTCGTACTGCAACGCGTCGACCGCTCCTCCAGCGGAGAGTACAGCTGCCTCGCGCACAACGCTGAAGGCAGCGCCACCAGCAACTCTGTCACCCTGCAAGTCAGATGTCAGTACTCATTGTCTAAACTAACTCTTAATTTAACTACTGAAATAGTTGACTGTATTAAATAAATTTCAAGAACCGATATAAAGAGAAGCGTCGAGTCAACTGATCCGCATCAACAGATTCTCTTGTCTATGAGATGTACTCGACTTGCTGATTTATAATGGCCACCGTGATGATGACGTCATACAGTATAGATATGTTTGCAGACGCGCCGCTGTGCAAGCAGCAGCCGCAGCAGGAGCAGCAGCAGGGCGGCGTGTGGGGCGCGCTGCGGCAGGAGACTGTGGAGCTGACGTGCGCGGTAGACGCCAGCCCGCCGCCCACAACCTTCGTCTGGACACTTGATAGCTCCGGCGGACACACTGAACTGCAGCCAAGGTTAGTTTGTCTATGGACTTCCACGTTCGAAACGCATCAAATCGCGTGGTTGTTTTCGAATCCCGTAAATAACTTTTTTGGGACAATTTAAATTCATCAATATTGCTACACGATGGTACTTTTTATTTAAGTTTTAGGTAAATTATTAAGCTCACTGTTAAAAAACCTCATTGAATGAGTACAAAAAAATGATTTTTCTAGTCATAATAAAAAGTCTAGATTAACTGAAACCTCTTACTTCTGTTACATAGTAATTTATTTTGTTTAAAGTGTAAAGATAATTCAATATTCGATAGAAATATTTAAGAGAAATGCATTTATGTACATCGTGCAAAGCCTATAATTTAAAATAAGCGCACATGTATTTCAACGGGGCGCAGTTGCCGCACTAAAGCAACGATTAAGTGTCCAAGAAGAGAAATAAATGAGAGTTAATCTCTACTTTACGGCTCTCATGAGACCTATCAAGATGCTAAAATTTTTAATTTAAAATAAATACTACCGCGCTAAACGCATTTAAAATAAGATAGTGTCATAATATACGATAAGACTATTTATTCAACATACAAAACTCTCTCTGTCTGTTTGTCTATAATACATATCTACTAATTTGTAATGCGTTCAATTGTAGAGTGTAATTTATTAAGACCATATTCTAGTACATCGAATAATAAAATTAGTTACTAAAATATTTACCATGTGTTCAATAATCTATACGTTTTTCTTTTGATATTTATTCTGACAAATAAGTTGTATTTTGAGAATTTCAATTTTAATATTAAATTTTTTTGGAAAAAAAGATAAATCACATCCTGCTTACAATAAATAATAACAGCAGAAACATAATTCTGTGTAAACAGTTCATATTCTCGTATAACTGATTCCCAGAATTCGAGAGAACGTAGACTGTTGGAAAATAAATTTGTATTTGATCTTAACAATATTGAACATATTTTAAATGTTCGATTTATCATTTTGCTGTAAACATGAGATATAACTAGATAAATAAATTATATATTCCCTGCGCTTTTTTTCAACATCGTAAATGTTTGGATTATTTATATTAAAGGATATATTTTATGCAAACATTTTATGTTTAAATGTGCGCTATTGAAATAGAAACTGATAAATCACAAATGCCTGTAAATTCCTTGAAGTGTACTATTGTTTCTAGCCTATACAGCATGTACAACTCATCGTCCGTGCTGCGGTACACGCCGCTCTCGAACATGGATTACGGAACTATTTCATGCTTCGCGGTGAATGCAGCCGGCCGGCAGGAGGCGCCTTGTGTCTACAAGATTGTTCCCGCAGGTAAATATTGTCTATTGTTACCTTGATGACACCAAAGGTAACAGAGTGCAAAATATAATACTAAGATATTTTATATTATATTTGTATCTTCTCTATATAAGATTTTGGAACAGTTAAAAAGTAAAAAGGAATTAGCTTCACTGACCAATATACAGTCAGAAATCGGCATTGATTTGTACCAGATTTATCGGGAGTTTTTATTCAAATAGCTAGCAAGAAACGATTATTGTGATAGTCATGTGTACCATTTAGCCATTCCGGTGTAGTAATAGTATAAACAATAGGCAGGTTTGCTCTGTTATATTATACTGTTATGTTTGATTGTACACATTGCGAGGTAATGTCAACGTGACGTCACTTCAAGTGCGCTTATAATTAACATTTGCTAATTAATTTTGTTATAACCGTGCCGTGTTATTCAGTTGTTTTATATATTTGATCCTTACATACAATTTATAACAGATTGGTTGACAGCTAATTACATTTCAAATTATTTAATTTTTTGGACATAAAAGATCAGAAAATGCTATTCTGTTATTACTATGCTCCTGCTTTGTTCAGATCGTCCATCCACGCTGCAGAACTGTTCGATTGTGAACCAGAGCTCAGAGAGGCTGGCGGTCGAGTGCGCGGAAGGCTTTGACGGAGGATTGCCACAGATATTCTACATGGAAGTGCTTGAGTTACCTTCTCTGGTGGTGAGTACACAACACATATGCTATAGCTTAATTAACTTAACAGAACCATGGAGCCCTCAACAACTACAATGTGTATTTCAATTAAAGCGTTTGTTGGCAGCCTTATTTATAACTTAAATTAACTATTGTTTACTTTCTTCATTTTCTCGGACAGAAGAAGTCGCTTTATTTATTTATTTTTACACTTTGCCAATTACCAGAGGTCGGCTTTGTGTCGTTAGATGCCATATTTTCTATCAGTAATTGGTTCTGTCGCTCCGCTCTTCCTGTCCTCTATATTCTATCGCGCTATCTATTCATTTTTCTGTTTCTTTTTTTGATATTAAACAACAATATACGTAAAGAAGAATTAGAACAGCTCATTTCTCTTAAAGCCGTATATGTACTTTCAAAGAAAGTGAAGTCAAGTATTATTTTGCCCACTTTTATCAATGATTAACTTATATTGTTATTTAATTGATCCTACAAGTACATCCGTAGCATCAGAGGAACCACAGCCTTTAAGAGAATGTTATGCTCTCTTCTTGAAGGCTCCTAAGTAGTAACTGATATGAAATTAATTTTAATTGACTTTATAAATTTGAGCTTTTAAAGACCTACTGCAGTTACCATTTATTAAGTTTCTATCTATTTAAAGGTCAAGTATACTAATAATATTGCTTCAGGTTCGAGCTAACGTGTCGTCAAACTTCACGCCGAGTTTCGAAGTGCTGGGAGTAGACAGTAGAGTGAGCTATATACTAAATTTGTACTCCGCCAACTCCAAGGGCAGGAGCGAAATAGTCACTTTATACACGATCGCGTTACGATCTCCGGATAAGTACACTGGTAAGTGATGTTGTTAATATTGTTATAGCTGAATTACTACAACCTATATCTTATTCCGATTAATATGGGCGATGTTTATATTCTGTATGCAGGAGGTAGCAGCGGGTTGTCGCTCTCGCCGCTGCTAGTAGCGCTGCTGTCGGCGGCGGCGTTGCTGAGTGCGGCGGTGTGCGCCGTCATCGCCGCGTTGTACCGCCGGCACGCCGCGCGACACCGCAAGCACCCGCCCTCCACGTTAGTAATATTGCTCTGACTAAACATATGGACTGCATTCTATCTAACTCTATCCTATCAAAACCCTTTTAACAGTTAAATTGAAATTGACTAGATATTTTAAATTTTCCAAAAATATATATTCTCGGTAGCGTGATGTAAAAGACTTGGAACTCAATTTAAGTAAAATAATTTGATATAGCTTGAATCGATCTACATTAACTTTTTTTTAATTTTAACAGCAATGCCTTGTATTCGGAAGACAGTGTTGACTCGTTCCCGCGACGAGACAAGGGCGATGACGTCACGTACTCCGCGTCGCCCAAGATTGACTACAGCAGTCAGTACGAACTGAAGATGGAGGGCGATGTCGAGGAGACCGACCCCGATATCATACCATTTCACTACGGTATAGATTACTCACACGTTAGTTGCACACAATTTTATGTCAAAATTAAGCTCAAAATTGTGTTTTTTTTTCCTGTCATAGACAAAAAGCCTACGGACGAGTACAGTAAGTCATCGTTTCAAGAAAATGAGCCGAGAAGAATATACAGCGAGCAGTCATTATTTAATACTGTGAGTATAGATAAAGCAACCTAACATCTGTTATTCTATACTTCTCATATCCTCCTCGTGGGAGACGAACATTTATGTTCGTTATGTAAACATTTTTAATTTAACTAAGAAACACATTAAATTATGTTGTCCTACATTTGATACGAAATTCTACAACCGTTAAAATGTCTAAATTCGTTCAAATAAAATTTTTATTTAACGTTAAAAACTCTAAGTAGATAGCGACATAGGCTCCTGTGGGCAAAAGTTCATCTCTTTAATTAATTAAAAAGCTGCGCCGCAAAACATGTCCAAATGAAAATCTGTACCTCAAATCATGTTGTATATAATTTGTGTTGTATTTCATAAATGTAGCTTTTTCATTAAAATGATTCTAATTTGTTTACACCACATCTCAAAAGAGTATATTTCGGCTAGAAATCAGTAAAAGAACTGACTAGTTTTGCTATTATGTGACAGCGAACAATTGCTCAATTAGGTTCAGAGTTGAGGAAGAGATGAAAGGCAAAGAATATACGACAAACTACGAAAAAAACGTATAAAATAGTTGACATGAAAAGATGTTGATTTTGTAGATAAAATATTGGTGACTTGCAGAATATAGCTTTGGTGAACCGCGGTGTGACGGCGCGCAGCGCGGACATCGCCGCGGCGGCGGCGCGGCTGCGGCCCGAAGTGGTCACGTCCTCGCGCAGGGTGAAGGAGAGTTGCATCTAACTGTTGTGTATCTGTTGTTGTTAAAAGTATTCATTTCAGCTGAACCAAAGGAAAATTAAATTTAAATAAGACTGATTGTAGATTTATTTGATACCTACGTCTATGACGATTTAGATAATGTTCCGAATGTTCTGAATTTCAAATCAACCTTTCAATAGTCTACATAAGTACTATATTTTCCTTCTCTTTTTCCGTTGAAAAGTTCTACCAAACATAGAATATTTCTAAGAACCCTTTGACCGATAAATTCTCGTTAACGTGAAATAAACGCAAAGTATAAAGAATATAATTGAGAAATTGTACCATACAATAGTCAATTTCACAGACGAATAACACATACAACGCTAAGTTAAAAACGCTTTTGAAGAAAGGGTTTTTAACGAATATAGCGATGAATTACTTAAATTTCCTTAAGATCATTTTCTAAACTAAATATTACTTCACTCGTATATTGAAACGATGCCGACTCTGAATAGCCGTTTATATTTAGTTGATGTAAGGATAAACAAAACGATTAACTAAAGAAGCTTTGACCTCAGTCACATGTTACTTAAATGTACAAAAATCTACATATTATTGTATTATATTATTATTATATAATTATAATTATATTTAAGGCCTTTAAATAAATTAAATAATTGTAAATATTATATCAATAGTCAGTTGTTTTACATTTTATGCAAATTTAATAATTTCTTGCATTTTGTTCATTCATTCGATTAAATAAAAAATGTACAAAAATAGAAGTTCTTTTACATATTGCTGAAATGTATGAGTCAGAATAATTAATTGATAAAAAACTATTTCGTTAAGTCCGTCCATTTTAGTTAACGAATTCCGGGATTTGTCTTTTGTTTTTAATTTACACCATTTTATTTTATAAATATCTTTATTACTTGTTTTTTAAAACGTATTTTAAACATCATACAGTAATATTTAATAGAATTAGTTATTATTGAATTCACAATTTTAGAACCAAAATTGCTTTTAATATTCGTATTACAAAATGTTGGTTCAGGAATTCTGTGGTAAATATTATAGCTCATTTTGAACTTATTATAAACTTGTGTTAAATAAAAGGTTAGATACGAATTTCCTGTTGTATCAACGAAATGGCACATATTTGTCGTACTTTGTGAACGAGCTCATTTATATTACAAAATGTAAATTAGTTAAGTTTAATAATAAATAGTTAATACATTGTCTACGAATTGTAAAGAAACAATCATTTAGTTGAATATTTCTTAATATTTATCTCAATGTCATTGAACAATGGAATCTTGATACAAAAGAAAAGATTCTTCATATAAATACAATGAAATTGAATCGAATCTATACATATTAATAAAATTGGAGTGTCTGTTTGTAATATTAAAATAACCTTTTTTACTACATGTATATGAATACATATACGATACATACACCAAAATATTTTTTTTACAATTGTTGTCTTTCTATCTGTTTGTTCTGGCTTATCTCTAAAACAGTTGGAGCGATTTTGACGGGGCTTTTCTTGGCTGATAGCTAATGTAATAAAGAGTAACTTAGGCTACGTATATTTTAGAAAAAAGAAGACAGTTTTTCTCGCGGACGAAGTCGCGGACAGAGCTAGTGTTTAAATAGATTTGAATAAAACACGTTATATTTGACTAAATGATTGGTTGTGTGAACGAGTGAAACCTTTGTATATCGTTCAATTGTTCAATCTATTCATATTTTATGGCTTCGTTTGGATTGTGACTGATGTTAGTGATATCGAAACGATGATTGTGAATGTTTATGTGGAATTAAAATTTAATTTTATTCATCTAATTATTAACCCTCACACATCGAAGTTTAATAAAGTTTTTTGTATACAATTTATTGTAGACACAAAATTTACGAAATCTTTGCCTTTGAAAAAACGTATACCTGATGACCTCGGAAAGTATCATAATAGATTGACTTAAAAAGATTTGGATGATGGTAAGATATTGGAAGTTACGATTAACATTCATATATGTATGCTTTAATAGAAAAATTCTATTAAAAACTTAATTAAGGAATTCCGTAAGCCCAGAATTAAAAAAAAACGGAGCCTTTGTGTTCTTCTAGACTATACTCTACATCTATGCCAAATTTCAGCTGGATCCGTTCAGCCGTTCTAGACATATCTTCAAACAAATATCCATGCATCTAAACATTAGCATTTATAATATTAGTAAGATATTAAGAAGTAAGATTATCGTCAAATATTAAAGAAGGTAGTATCGTTAAGGATTTTAAGTAAATATCTAGATCTGTTTTCTAATTGTACTAAAACAAACATATCTATTTTCTCCAGAAAAATTATGAAAAACCTGTTACAGGATATGTCGTGGATCATAAAATAAAAACTCTGTAATAAAACTAAAGAATAATGCATAAAATACCCAAATTTTAGATAGCAAAATGAGTTAATCATCAAAATAATTACTAAAAGCTTTTTGACATAGCAATTAACGATTTAATGACACTTTAGTTAATTGAATTTTCCCTCTATTTTGATGTCAGTTAAGTTCATGTTGATTGTCATTTGTTTAAATAGTAGTCGGCGAGCGCTTTGCCTTTAGCACTCACATTTTGGCAGTTAATTGGTGAAGTCAAGAGTTATTTCCCGTTTGAAATAAAATCGCAGTAGACTTGCGGCAAACAATTTTCAATTGCCTGTAACCGCTCCGCCGCCGGCTGTCTGTTTGAAAAACCTTGAAATGTATCGAAGAAAATTCACAATATTACTTTGTTTATTTTTGTATTATGGTATTTTATTAAATTAGATAATAGTTTAATAGTTAATTTTTGTGAAAATATAATACCGAAGTCATTAAAATGCTAAAAAAGTTGCTATTCATGCAAACTGTCTTATGGAGCATATATTTTTTTTAATTGTGACATTGAGCTATTCATTACATATACATATACAGCAGATTCATTCACCACATACCAAAATAATCTAACAGACAATTTTACCAACTAGCTAATACACCAAAATTGAGATATAAATTAACAAATTAAGGACATTTTAAATGAATTGGAGATTAAATTAAAAGGCACTTGTTTAAATCGCAGTCAGAATGTAATTGCAACTGAATGAATGATGAAAACAAAGGTTGGCCATTAAAGACTCGCTTTTAAAATGCAAAAATAGCCTTGATATATTTTGTTTGTATAGTGTGGACTAACCTTTAGGTTTAGTACTACGGTATTTTATTGTGTAGACAGTGTTATTGTAAGAAGGGAAACATTTTCTATTGTATTGTTACGTATTGTAACATATTAATTGAGATTTTTGTAAGAATTCTTAACAACGGTTTTTCAGAAGTTGTTTTTAAAATTGCTTATAAACTTAGAATCTTGTAGAATATCAAAAATATTATTCAATAAGTCGAATAGTTAAGATAGAAGTTGAAAAGCGTTATTATAATAGATAAAGCTAAAACCGACGACATTAGGATTGCGATAAAAAAGTTATGGCATGTCCACACTAGTCTGTTACAATCTTTTAGCGCGGAACAATCAGCGGGTTAATTTGACGTAGGCTGTCACCTCGGGGCGCCTTCCCGCCGTTATTGAGGCAAAGAGATCCCTCGCTTCATAATGACTCATTTCCTCCTCGAAAAAAGCCATTTTATATGGAGATTTGTTTCGGTCAAACGGTTACCTTCTTGAAATGAGAAAAGTTAATGTCGTAATTACGTACCTTGTTAATTGAGGCGAGCGAGCAATGTTAGTTGTCGGTAAATATATAGATAATCTAGATACAGTATCATTAATTAAAGATAGACATGTGTTACGGCTTTCTTTTGTCCTATATTTTCTGCTCCTTGTTAGTTTATATCTCAACGTATAAAGAAAACACACCAATGGCCCCCTTTTTTCTTTCGTCATTCTAGAATCATCTTGTAGCTTTTATAATTTTGTTAAAACTTACTTCGTTCAGTATCACTCTAAATTACATGTCGAAGAATTTGCCACAGTTTCTTGTCCCTAATATGAATATTATTTTAGGTTGTTGAGAATTTCAGTCATTTAAAATATAGCCGAGCGTTTCTCAAGGGAAATCTACTTTACTATCCTCTGTTAGTTCAAAACGTGTACATTCTATATTTGGTAGAAATGTTTCCTCACATGACATTCATTGTCTGTACTGTTCTCAATAAAGCATAGCATTTGTCAAGCTTTCTTCAGATTATTACTTTCATAATTTAAGTAAAGAAAACGTTAGGTATTTATTATTAGAAAGAGATTTAACTTTTCTAGACTAGAAAGTGGGAGTTGTGTCGTGACAAAAATATTAAATCTATCTATCTTTATTCTTTTGTGTTATGTAAGAAACTTGTTGTATAAATGTATAGAGGTACACAGAATTTGTATGGTAATATAATTAGTGAACATTTGAATACAAAGCTGTAGATATAAGAGGAACAATATTGCCTCAGTTAAACTTTTAACACAACTATTGCAATAATTTCTGAACTGTAATTTCGTTTCTCTCACAAAGTGCGGCTCAAGTCGACACGAACAGAAATAATTTAAACTTAAATTTATGCCTTCCACAATACTGGTTGAAAATTATTTATTACGTTCTTTATTTTAAAGAAGATTATTTATTTTAATGGCACTTTATTTAAGTACTTTCTGTCGTCCACGAATCCGCGGGGGATTAAAAACTAAATTAGTAGCCTATGTGTTCTTTCAGAATATGTTCTACACATATGCCTATCCATGCAGCCGTTCTGGTGATACCTTCTAACATACATACATCGATCCAAACATTTGCATTTATAATATTTCATCAACATCTTCTTTGTTAAAAAGTCTTCTTATGTTACTCGCAAGCAATATAATTTTAATACCAAACTATTTTAACATAGAGAACGTAATAACAGCGGTTAGGAAAATTGTGAAAAGTCACTTTCAATAGCTTAATTAATTACACATATGTATGTAAATGTGAATGTAACTGGCAGTAACATGTTTGGAATTACAATGAATCTAATTCAATTAACATACGCGGTGCTAACTAGGTAACAATTTCGTGTCCACGGCCGACCTTTCCAACTAATACTAATAACATTTCATTATACATTTTTAATTCTCGTGTTAATACGTACAAATAAAATCACTTAAGCCTATTTTATATTCAACAGAAACATAACTCACGACTCTAACAGAGAGGGTCGTCAAAGATTAAAGCATTAGGCGTCCAGGCACACCTGTCTTTATTCATGAATTTTATACGTAAATATTGTATGATGCTATTTAATTAAGAAAATAGTAAATCTATATTAAAGTTAATGTTTCAAATATTATTCTGACTTCCAATACACTTAATTTTTTTTATAATTGTGTAAACGCTTCCATGGACGACAGCCAAGGCGGGCCGTGCTTTGCGTAAATTTATACGTCCAGATTACACATAATACAACTCCGCGAGCCACTTTACACAAACTTAATGGTTTAAATACTTCAAGTGCTTCAGAATAACGCCAAGGATTTATTGTAAGTGCTCATTTATAAACTTTGCTCCGACGTCGAGAAATATTACTCTATTAAATTAAAATAAGATGAAAATTCAAAG